TATATATATATATCCCCCCCCACTCACCCATCCACACACATACACACACACACACACACACACAACATATAAATGTTATTTTATAAAATACGGTCTTTCAAAATTGATGAAGAAATAATACATTACCTCGTTCTCGTTGGTGCGAACGTGTATTTTCTCCAAACAACGAATTCGCATGATTCTCATTATGTTGCGAATCCTGCCAAAATTGATATTTGCTCTCATACTCGAGGTCTATATTCTGCAAATGAGGCATCTCCCAAGTGCGAAACATTGTCCCTGTGTTTGTCGTCACACGACGATCTTGATTATTTTCGAATAATAAATCTTCAGGTTTGTTCAAAGGCTTCTCATCTTCTTTTTCATTCAGTTGCTCGATCATCAGATGACAATCTGCTGCATCTTGCTGAGAATATTGCTCCCATCTTACAAAAATTAAACGTTGTACAATACACATTTATGTAATAAGGTATATCGTAATGATAGTTACGATCTTATAATACGAAAAATCATTGAAAAAGTAAAAAATTATAATAGAAACATTTATTAATTATAATAATAAGTTAATAAAAGATATATATAATTTTAGAAATTATGAGTCATATTTTTTTATGGAAGTGAAATATTTGTTTTAATGCAAAATAAAATATAATATTTTTATAAATATAACAAGGTTAATATTTCAGTTTTAATATTGTTATAATAGAGCAACTGTGAAGTATATTGTGCTTCTTAAAGAGTTATCTTCAGAGTATTTTAAAGTATAATTTTCAATAAATAAAATTCTTAAATATTAAATAAACAAAGATATAAAAGAAATCTATTAGTTTTTTATACGTAAAACATATGGGAGTTTTACCTGCACGTGCGATAATTTTGATTGCTGTCGATATTTTGAAGAAAATTGACAACGTAAGGCGGCGGGATTAAACGAGCGGTTTCGTCAGTTGCAATATCAAATCCACCGCAAGGATTTGATGGGTTGCTCCAAGACAACCTATGGTACCACGGTGCCTCACAACTTGTTGATCTTGCATTTTGCTCTTCCATATGAAAAGATAGTATTGGCAGGGTCGATGATAATTCGAAATTATCGGATGTCCGATGGCTATACGCAATCGTGTCTTTTGAACACAACATAGTAACAATAAAGATTTTGACAGTGTCAGTACACGAATTCTTTATACGAATATCTTTATAAAGAATTGACAAAGAAAGATTAGCAAGAATAAAACAACTATAACACAATCAGCAATCAATCCGCAATAACTATTTAACGATTTATTCATGTATTGTTTGTTTTTTTATATTTGATTTATAAAAAGTACGTATTTAAAAAAACAGCGGAAAGATCCTAATTACACTTATATTTACTCCAAGAAAAGAATCTTTCCATAGAATACTATAAAAGGAATTAACTATTGCAATAGCCTTTTTATATTTCTTTGCTCATATTTTTTCATTATGGTTCTTATATATATTTTCTTGGTAAGATTATTATTAATATCTATCTTGGTAAGATTACTAATAATATCACTAATTTTATTAATATAAGCGAGCACAGATTCACCGTAGAATCACTCCGTGCGCGGATGGATGCGAATTGCGTTAGTGCTTACTCGGAAATGTCAAATGAGCACATGTGATGGCGCCGTCATAGGACAGCGAGAATGTCATGGAGAACATCGAGAACGTCGAGAACGTCGGAGGAGAATCATAGGAGTAGGGCCACAGAAGTTCTTCTTCTACATTTCCTTTCAGCTTTTTGGCCAATCCCTGAGCGTGAATCGTTTCTCGCAACCAAAGTGACTGGTCAGCGTTCGCGAAAGAATTCGAAATGGTGACACATGAAACGGCCGAGCCGCTGAGTTTTTTGCTCTGAACTGTACATTTGATGGGGATTAAGAAAACTTTTATATGACGCATGCGAAATACTGTTTTTGCGAATTGTTTTATCCGTGTGCCGATAAATTTTCAATGTTGAGTTTCATGAGTCAAACTTTGGATAAAACAAGTAATAGTCAATTAAGAATGTATTTTAGATAATTGAAATGGTATTTAAAATAAATTAAAAATTTATTTTCAATATGTAAATCTATTACGAAAATTAAAACATATTTTGAAATAAGTTTTTGTATTTTTTGTTTCCAAATTTTCAAATAATTTTTTAAAGTTAGATTAAGAAAAACTTATAACTAGTTCGTGTTTTTCAATCAAAGTTTGAATTCTTATTTATTTTAATACATATATATATATTTTCTTTCATATATCTCAGCACTATCAAACACAATCCAGATTTCTTCCCTCATTTTGAAATACGATGCTAACTTCCAATTGTGAGACAAGTGTGTCATGCTTTATTAGAAAGAAAGAATTCGTTTCGGTTGTCACGATTGTAAAAAATGTTTAAATTTTTTAAAATTTAGCAAAAGGAAGGAAATTGAATCTTGTAAAATATGCTCAAGATTACTAAATCGATTAGTCTAAACATTTTTAATGACTAACTTGTATAAGATTTCAATAAAATTTAATTACAAATTTAATTTTCTTTTAAAATATTTTAAAATTTAATATGAATCTCTCGAATCTCTTGTATTATTATTTATTAATTTATCTTATATAAATATAAATTACATTTATTTTTATTTTCATTTTTCCAGTATTGTCACATAAGTTTAACTGATTTTTTATTAACTTATAAAATAACTTGCAAGTATAAAATAACTTGCAAGAGCAAATATTTTTAGCTCCTTAACAAAGAAAACAATATCGATAAATTTAAGAGACTTTAGGAAAAATTTTAATGATTAATTGACACAATAGTAAACCTTTTTAATTTTTGCATAAAATAATTTAAACAATATATGTATATGATATAATATTAGAAAAATTAAATTTTCTTGCTATTAAATTTAATAAATGATTCTTCTTATTTACATTAACAATGTGCTTTTTAGAATAATATACAAATAAAATAAACTATTTTCTATGTAACTTAATTATTGTAATTGCAAGAATCACATTAATATATTTAATGAGAAAAATGCGGAGAAAAGAAATGAAGTTGTTTTCTTTGTCGAGCCAATTCATTCACGAATTCGTTGTCGGTGTTTCATTGAGGATGGCTATTACTCCGTCAACGAGAAGTCAATCTCGGTAAAGGCTCACCTAAGAAAACACAAAAGTGGTGGGAGGAAAGAAGGAAGGAACGAAAAATTACGGCTGCGCGAGAGTGAGAGAATGGGTGGATGGGGCACCAGCCGGGTCCTTCGACGCGGCACGTTTCGAAAAGTCGACTCCTTCTTGAGGGTCACGCGTCTCCATTAATCATCGGCATTGTTTGGCTTCCTCTGTCGCTTGCACCCCCTCTGAATGCGGCTTACACGCGTTCGATGCCGAAAGAGATGCGACGAGAGGTCCACCATCTCATCGAAGTACTAGGCTATCGCTACAGGAAGCGAAATTCCCTGAAATATGAGACTCCTAGCCATGAAGCGATGCCAAGCGGTCTACGAGGGAACCGCTGTTCGGAAATGTAATGTTTCCTGAATTTCATCTTGCAGCTTTTCAAACTCTTCCGTACCAAATAAGAATTGAAACACATTCAATTTAATTTTTGAAGCTCGCATAACGTCAGAAATCAATAAGCATTGTTCAAATTAATTTCAGATTCTGTTTCTTTGAATGAACGAATTTTAATTAACTTTTTAGTTTTATTTAATGACCGATTTATAGTTTACTAAAGATAGAAATTAAAAGACATAAGCTGCATTTTCCCACGAGTATTATTTTTCAAAGAAGATGCTTAGACGATGTCTCACAAGTTAAAGCCTTTTTTTTTATGAAATCAAGTTCTCCAAGTTTCGTGGGACGTAACATGAAAAAAGAAGATTCCACAATGAACATTTGTTGCAGGCTCTCAGTCGAGTATTTTCAGTTTGAATATAAATCCATGAATGTAGGTGTCTGGCTTTCTCATCAGCAGCCAAATGAAGATTCTCATGCAACTAATTCAAAAGTTAGCGACACTAATGCCGACGCATTTACGGATCATAGCCGCAGCACATTAAGTATACATTAGACACCCACGTGTCCGTCGCGATTATCCAATCAGTCTACTGAAGAAATTAACTGCCTGTTGATGCTATATATAAATCATTGATAATTATAATATTAAATAATGAATGAAAAGGAACTGTTTTATAAATTGCAAGGAATTACAATGTACAATAATTTAAAGAAGTTTACATTTCGTTCATGTCAAAATTTTTGTCAATTCATGGAATTAAATCCGATATAAATAACGAAAGACTAAAAATGTGTATT